CGCGCTGTGCAGGGAGGCGGCGAAGGGGCAGGGAGCGAGCGCTGGGCGGGGCAGGGCCAGCTCAGGGCAGCGGCCTGCACGGGGACGCGGTGCCCGGCCAGAGGCGGGGGCCAGCAGGGGTGCGGGCCGCGACGAGGCGATGAGGGACCGGGAGCGGGTAAGGGAGCTGGAGGGTCCATGCTCCAGAAGTCCATGGTTCGCCTGCGCATTTGGGTCGGCGCTCAAGCCACGCGTGTGCAGGCGACCCTCATCCGCTGAAGTGGTTTTGACACGCCAGTGGACAAATTCGTGCCCACTTCCTCTCAGAATCGGTGTACGTCCGTACTACATGAGGAGGAGGAGGAGGAGGAGGAGGAGGAGGAGGAGGAGGAGGAGAAGGAGGAGGAGGAGGAGGAGGAGGAGGAGGAGGAGGAGGGGGAATCTGGGAAAGAGTGAGTACGACATCTGCTGCGTGCCGCCGGTTTCGGCCCCGCCGCCGGGTGCTTTCCTGGAGGCGCGGGCGCGCGGGGCGCCGGGAGGCTCCTTCATACTACATGAGGAGGCCAGCTGAGGCTTTTGCTCGTTCCCCTTCGGTTTGGGTCAGGGCCCGCGACTCGCAGGCTGGGGGGGGTTCAAGTTCGCTGGCCCTTCTTCGGCCTTCACCCTGTCCTCCTGCTCCTGCTCCTCGTCACCCTGCACGTCCTCCGGTTTCATCCAGCGCAGCGGGAGTGGCCTTTTTTTTTTTTGGAGGGGCGGGATGCCAATGCCAGATACGGCGCGTGTGCACTCCGGACGGGCCAGGACGGGGATAAATCCGTTTCAGAGCGTTCCGCAGCGCTCTCAGAGCGTTCTGGAACGGTCTGAGAAGGCCTCGGCGCCCGATAGATCCTCCAGAGCCGCCGGATCGCAGAGATTCTCGATTTACCCTCACTCGAATTGATCCTCGTCCTGGCTTCGTCTCATGCCACTGCCAGGCACGGCGCGAGTGTATTCATCTCCCCACTTTTTATTCATACATATATATATATGCATGTATGTATAATATATATATATGTATATACACAACTATACATCTTTATATACATATGTACACATAAACATTTACATACGTACACATCTACATATGTATATATATTTATATATATTTATATATATAAAATTAATGATATATGGAGAGGTTGTCCCAGGTACCGGAGTTCACTGATTCGGTACCAGGCCGTTTGGGACCCGTTGGGGGGCGCGATAATGCGTCAAAGGAGGGGAAGGGGGGGAGCGCGAGGGCCCTAGAGACGTCCGAGAGGGCGCCAAGGTGGCCCAAGAGCGCTCCAAGAGAGCTCAAGACCGCACAAGAGCGTTCCAATATTGGTCCAGCATGGCTTGAAGACAGCCCAAGAGGGCTTAAAGACGCCCAAGATGCCCTCAAAGGGACTCCCACGAGGTGCCTTCAGGAGGCCCCCCGGGAGGCATCCCACGAATTCCCAACGAACTTCCAAGAGGCCTCGAAGCCCCAACCCAGGCACGGAGGCGGGATGGGCCGAAGGCCACTAGATGGTCCAATACGCCAAAGACGGCCTCCAGACGGCCCAAGAGGCCCCCAAGATACCCAAGAGGCTTCCAAGAGGTTCCAACAGAGCTCGAAGAGGCCAACATACATAAATTTCCAGTCGAGTTTTGAACAATTGTGGCGTTTCCGCCTGTTCCGCTTCCCGACACTGCAGAACGTCCCAAGAGGCTCCGAGGATCGCCCCAAGACGGCCCAATAGGCCTCAGAAGCGCCCCAAGACTGCCCAATAGGCTCCAACCGCTCCGACGAGGTGCCCAAGACGGCCCGCGCCGAGAGGGCTCCAACTGCGGCCCAGGAGCGGGAACGTGAGCCGAGAACCCGAGATCTTCGCCCCAGGAGGCCCCCAGGAGGCCCTAGGAGGCCCCCAGGAAATCCCCAAAGAGGCCCAGAAGAGCCCCGAGAGAGGCCCCGAGGGCACTTGAGCAAAGACTGGAAGTCCAACAGGTGTTTTTCCCAACCATCCTGTGGTGTTGGGTCCTCGTTTTGAAGAGACAGCGCCCGCGTCCTCCTTCCTTCCTTCCTTCTCCTCCCGCTGCCTCCCCTCCTCACCCTCCTTGCCTCTGCCCCTTGCATGTCTCTGTTTCGGCACACCCCTCACGCGGTTCGTGGCCCAGTGAGCTCCACCGAAGGCCCCAGTGGCAAAGTTCGCATGCAGTTCCACCATCATTTCGGCGCCCCCCACACGATTCGTGGCCCCATAGGGAGCTCCACCGAAGGCCCCAGTGGCAAAGTTCGCATGGCGGCCCCGCCCCATTTTGGCGCACCCCTAACACGGTTCGTGGCCCCATAGGGAGCTTCACCGAAGGCCCCAGTTGCAGGGTTCGCATGGCGTCCCCGCGTTTTGGCGCACTCCTCACACGGTTCGTGGCCCCATAGGGAGTTCCACCGAAGGCCCCAGTGGCAGGGTTCGCACGGCGGCCCCGCTCCATTTTGGCGCACCCCTCACACGGTTCGTGGCCTCATAGGGAGCTCAACCGAAGGCCCCAGTGGCAGGGTCCGCATGCAGTTCCACCTCCATTTCGGCAGACCTCTCACACGGTTCATTGCCCCATCGGGTGCTCCAGCGTTATGGTGACTTGTGCAAATTGAAGCAGTGCCCCTTGCCTGGACCATGCAGGTGGTGGCAGATGGAGATCAAGCGAGTCGATGGGAGTTGGCGAAGATTGAGGTGCAGGGGCTGGGAGAGGAGCATGCTTTGCGACGAGAAGCGGCAGTCATGAAAGACCGAGAGTGGCGAGTTGAAGCTCAATCTCGCATGTGGCAGTGTCGCAGCACATCGGGTACGGACAAAGAGCACCAGAGGGTCGCGTTAGGCAGCTCGTGGTGTCAGCAATCCGTTGAGGGAGATGTTGCATTCTAAGCGCTGAGAGTTGTTTGCCTGCCCAGGCGGATTGGCCTGGTGGCAGAACCTGAGGACAGCCACGGAGAGGTAGTCTGCAGAGAGGGATGTTGCATACAGCCACACTAGGTTGCGCCACCTCGCGGCCACATTGGCACAGAGTATGGGCCCTCTTGCGGCCACCGTGGGGCCTCTGGAAAGGTGCTTTTGCACCATCTCCGTCAGTCTTGGGGCTATCATGGGCTTCTCCTCCCAGCTCCTCTCCCTCCTCAAGATAAAGAGGGTATCACCGCCCTCACAAGAAGGTGCGAGCTGCGAGGTCCTTCTCCCCCTCGTGTTCCCCCCCTCCCACCTTCTCCTTCTCCTCCTCCTCCTCCTCCTCCTCCTCCTCCTCCTCCTCCTCATCCTCCCCCCTTCTCTCTCCTCACCTCCCCACCCCCCCTCCCGTTTCTCCCTCCTGCTCTCCCCGTGCTCATCTCCTACCTTCTCCTCCCCTCCCAGTCCCCCTACCTCCTCCTGCCGCCTCCCCTCCCCCTCTCCCCCTTCCCGCAGTTGGGGGAGGCCGACTCGGCGCGGTCGGCGAAAGCGAAGAAGTGGCAGATCCACGCCCTGAAGGCTCCGGCCCGCTCGCGAGCCCTGGCGGGGACCGGGCGCGTGCCCTGGAGAGCCCCGCGGCACGCGGACGGGAGGCAGAGGATCGAGGAGGATCGAGGAGGAGAAGACGGACCACAGTGAACCCGGGAAGCATCAGAAAGTCGAGCAGGAGGGGGAGGACCAGAGGAGTGCAGGCAGCGCCGGCGCTGCCGCAGCATGCCCCTGCTTCGAAGGTCTCCCGAGGTCGCGTCGTCTCGCTGCAGGGAGCGCCCCCCCCCTGCGTCCCTGCAGCAGCCGCTGCAGGCGACGGGCTGCGGGATCGTCAGTGGCGAGACGGAGTCTCGGGCGGAGCGTCCGGCCTGGCCTGCGGGCACGCCCGCAGGTGCGGCAGGGAGGGGTCGGCTATGAGGACCGGGGGCGGAGGAGGAGTGAGGATGCAGAGGAGGGGGGGCGAGGGGGAGCAGGAGGAGCAGGAGGAGATGATGATGATGATGATGATGATGATGATGATGATGATGATGATGATGATGATGATGATGATGATGATGATGATGATGATGATGATGATGAGGATGAGGATGAGGATGAGGATGAGGATGAGGATGAGGATGAGGATGAGGATGAGGATGAGGATGATGCTAATGAGGATGACGCTGCTGATGATGGTGAGGATGAGGATGAGGATGAAGAGGATGATGCTGATGATGCTGATGATGAGGAGGAGGAGGAGGAGGAGGAGGAGCCCCATGTATCAACGATGCAAGACGCCTGCCCGTCTCAAGCCCCCTCCGCAGAAGTCCCTACCTGCCCTGTCTTTCAACTGCGGCCAACTCCGAGCGGGCCCGCCATTCGGGCGAGAGCCCCGTTTCGAGATGGAGCTGCCCCGCATCCTCCTGGTGAGTGGCAGGGGGACGCGCGCGAGCAGCTGTGACCATGAAGGGCGGCGATGTGTCCAGCGAGAGAGACGGTGTGAAAAGGACCCCCCCGCCCCCCCTCCGTGCAACTGCTGCACACAGGCACGCTGCTGGCTCCCGGCAGCCAGGTCCGAGGAGGCCGAAGGCGAGAGCCCCCCGTTCCCTGACGAAGCGCCGCCCTCGGCCCGCGCAGGCGACACATCTGATGAGCCTTCGCGGCCGCTCGGCTTCGGCGGCACGACAGCTTTGCCCGCCAGAACCTTGAACCCTGCGTGTTGATTCTTCCTGGGATATCCAAGAGACTGAAAGAGGTCAATGGCACCTTTGTAGTCCAGAGATCCCAGTCGAGAGCCGCATCTTGAAGAGGAGCCGCCGCCCCCCCCCATCCTTGCAGCCGATGCGGACGCTGAAGACGAGCGCGCGCGGCGACAAGGCGAGGACCCCCTCTTGACCAGGAGCAGCCCTCCATCGTTGTCACCGCTGCAGTCTCTGAGCCCCGCAGCCTCCGCCGGGGAGGCGAGCTGTTCCCCTCTGCCGGGCGCCACCCCCGCCAGGCACCGACTTGCGAGTCTTTTCCCCTTGGGTCCGTCCCAACCTCCCCTCCCCTCCTTCCCTCCTCTCTCCCCCCCCTCCCCCTCCTCTCCCCCTCCCCGCCCTTCCCAGCCAGGCTCCCGAAGGACTCGCCCTCCGCGCCGCGGGGCGAATGGAAAGAAGTGTGGGGGGGTGCGGCAAAAGGAGCTGTGCGACAACATCATCCGGCCCCTCGACGACGAGATCAAGGACCCCCCCTCCTCCTCCCTACCCCTCCTCCCCTTCTCTTCCTCCACAATCAAACAATATCAATACTACTCTCCTCTCTCCCCTGGTGGCGTCCGGGAAATGGCCAGCCCCACTCCGCGTACTTGTTTTTTCACATAGGATTCCCGGGCAGCGGGTTTTCGCTTGGTTTTTTTCAGAATGCTGCTCTCGCTGAAGTGCCGGCCTCATTTTCGGGCTACCGCTCGCTCCGAATCGTGTTCCCGCTGCAGTGCTGGTCTCATTTCCGCGCTTCCGCTCGTTCCGAATCGTGCCCCCGCTGCAGCGCTGGCATCATGATTTCCAGCGCCATGCCACGGCATGGTTTCGGTCCTTCGTTCCGAATCGTGCTCCCGCTGCAGCGCTGGCGTCATTATTTCCAACGCCATGCCACGGCATGGCTTTCGTTCCTGCCAAATAGGCTCCCAAATATAGGAAATGCTTCCCGAAACAACCATCGGAAATGATTCCACATTCAGTGTCGGTTCGTTGATTTCTTGGGCCTCAGAACCACCGCCCACCTTGGGGCGTCGCCACGCCATGCTATGTCAGGCTACGCATTGATCTTCAACACCATGCTATGTTATAATACTATCTCCTGCTACGACATCCGGCTGTTCGAATAGAGAAGATATCTACGCCATTGTAAGGGACGGGAGGGAGGAGTAGAACGTCAGATATGACTCGAGCGCACCCAGCTTGTCTTCCTCCCCCTCCCCCTCCTCCTCGTCGTCGTCCTCCTCCTTCTCCTCCTGCCCCTACTCCCTCCTCCTGATCATCATCATCATCATCATCATCATCACCATCATCATCATCAGCATCATCATCAGCATCATCATCATCATCAGCATCAGCATCAGCATCATCATCATCATCATCATCATCATCATCATCATCATCATCATCATTCATCATCATCATCAGCATCATCATCAGCATCAGCATCAGCATCAGCATCAGCATCAGCATCAGCATCATCATCATCATCATCAGCATCATCATCATCATCATCATCATCAGCATCATCATCATCATCAGCATCAGCATCAGCATCAGCATCATCATCATCATCATCATCATCATCATCATCATCATCATCATCACAGTCCTTCCCCAGGCCTCCGAGGCTGTGCCTTGTTCCATCCGTGTCCCCCCAGAGGTCCCGACCCCCTCCTTCGGGCCCGGCTTCTCAGCACGAGTCGTTTCGTGATGGCACTCGAGCCCGGGAGCGGCCTCTGGAGGCTGAGAGCGGCCCCCCCCCAACCCACCCGCCCTCTTTTGATTTCCTGCATGACGCGAGGGGGGGCGCTGAGCCCCTCCTCGTCCTCCCTCCTCCTTTTGTCGCTGCCTCTACAGTCGGGGCCCTGAAGAAGGAACCCTTTTCCTTGGGGAGGGGCTCCGTGTTCCTTGATTGCTTCACAGTTTGCCTTGGGTTTTGCTTTGGTTTTGAATGGGAAAATCGAAGTCCAACTTGTGGATCTAAGGGGCCTCGTTCCTTATTTAGGGTTCCTTGGGTCAACGCTCTGACTGTACTGCCGTAGCTTCACCGTCGCTTCCGCACCGTCCTCGGAGGCGCGTTCTCCCAACTGGCCGCAGAAGGCCTGGCCGGTGCCCGCCCATGGCCCCGTTGCCTTCGGACTGCTGGGTAGCTCTTGTCCCCCACCCCTCCTCCCTGCTTCCTTGGGTCCTCCTCCTCCTCCTCCTCCTTCTCCTCCTCCTCTTCCCCCTCCTCCTCCTCCTCCTCCTCCTCCTCCTCCTCCTCCTCCTCCTCCTCCTCCTCCTCCTCCTCCTCCTCCTCCTCCTCCTCCTCCTCCTCCTCCTCCTCCTCCTCCTCCTCCTCCTCACTGGGCATTTTTCAGACCTCAGGCCATCTTCCCGTTCCTGCAGCCATTTGGGCTCCAGCTGTCCACAGCGCCTGGACACCTACTGGGCTCTGAACCCTCCTTCTCATCCATTAGCCCGAGGCCATGCTTGCCAAGGTTGCCTCTGTGCTTGCCTGCCTTGCGTTCGCGCGGGCCCTCGCAGGCCAGCGCACCGAAGACGCCGCCAAGAGGCGAGGAGCGTGCGACTGCCTCAACTGGGCGGGGGTCTACTACGACCAGCTCGCCATGTGCGGCCGCGGCAAGGAGCTCCATTTCCTGTCCAAGTACGGCTTCACGGCTGCCTATGCCGCAACCGAGCCCATCGCAGGACTGCCGCACAAGGTCTGCAACGACTTCTTCAAGAATCTCAAGAACAACTCCTGCGTCAACGTTGACTTGCTGGCGCTGAGCGATGAGACTGACAACGTGGTGGCCATGGGTGATGATAACATGACAGACAAGCAGTGGTGCTATGTGTCCAACGATTGCCCTGTGGCCAGCCTGAACGGGGGCGATTTCGCCACCAATATGATGGGCTTTCAGCTCGGTGGGTGGAACAACCTCGCCAGCACGAGCAACTTGTCCTGGAAGATTTGCGATCCGGTCGCGGACGCGAGCTACATGCTGAAGTATAAGACTGTCCAGGAGTTGATTGATATCGGCACGGAGAGCGACGTTGGCCTCTCCCGGCTCATTCGGTTGGCATACCCCGTCGTGGCAATCACGTGGGCTGAGGTGAAGTTCATGATGGAGGCCATTAATGATGCCTGGACGCCTGGTGCCGACCTGGCCACCCTGGTCGACGGGCTTACTGCCCCGCCCGCCGCCTTCACCAGGGCCGTGGAGGTGCACACTACGATCAGCGATATCATCAAGTCCGGGCAGGCCACGATCCTCGACACGCCGGGGCACGGTGACAATTTCCATGTGATCAAGGGTCGCGAGGCGTGGAGCGTGACTAGGAACGCGCTGGGCAACATGATCTACCTGAGCGGCCATTTCTCAATGGAGTTCGACGTGACCTGCCTCATGGGCTGCGCCACCACCCGCATGGAGGCCCTCGACCTTGAGACGCAGTGAGTGGGCGCCGCATCGTTGTGCTTTGGGGCGGTGCACTGGTGAGCCGATGAAGTTCACGGATAATCAGTTTTCGTATGCCATTGAGGGTCACTTGTAAAGCCCTATCATGCGTGTGAGCAGTAGTGCTGATCCTTCCGAAGGCACCGTGCTCCTCCGCGCCTGGGTATTTGGCATAATCATGCTGCATATATGGTGCGTCCGTGTTCAGTTGCACGCTTCTGCACCGTGGTGGGCTCATATAGCCAAGTTGATTCCTCTCGCTTCGCGGGGTGCACGTCCCGAGCGCGTAGCATTCTGGGCGTTGGCTGGTTTGGCCTGCTCGGGTGCCGTGCTGGTCTGCCGTGCCGTTCTGCCACATCTTGGAGGTGTCTTGGGAGCCTGTGTGGGGGCCTCTTGGTGGATCCCTTGGGGCATCCTGGGGTCTCTTGGAGGCTTGGAGGTCTCTTGTGAGCCTCTCGGAGAGGTGTCTTGGAGGGCAGCTTCCATGGCAAGTTAGATTTTCGCCTCTCATGGGGCCCTCTCGGGGGTCTCTCGGGGGCCTCTTTGGGCTGTCTTTGGGCCCAGTTGGGCCGTTTCTTGGGCCTTCTTGAAGGCCTCTGAGGGGCCCCTTGGGCCGTCTTGGGGCGGACAAGGAATGGGTTTAGCCTCCGGAGGCTGTCTTGGGGGCTGTTTTTGGGCAGTCTTGGGGACATCTTGGATCACCTTGATGCCCTCTAGATTCTAGAGCTTGCTCGAGTCCCTCTTCGACCCTCAAGAGGCAAAAGAAGCCACGATCATTGATTTTTCATCTGCCTGGATGCCCGGTTACTCGATAATTGATCCCCGAAGGGCGAGGCTGAGGACGAACGCCCGTCGTGATTTCTTCTGGATGCTGGGAGTGGGGGCCCTCCACTTTGAGGTCGATTGTTTCCCCGACCGCTCCCATGGCTGCGTTTGGCTCAGGCTTTCGAGGTGTGTCCAGCCTTTCCGACGAGGGCACACCCAACTGCCCCCCCCCCGATGGCGACCTATGCGATGTGGGCGGGTCAGGTGGTCCATGGTGGGACTAACGGGGGGATAATCACACACGCCTGGAGACCCGAAAGGGGTCGGCGGACATTCTTGCATTGAAAGAGCAGGCACGGCAAAGCTGACATGATAGAACAAGGGCGTCAACAATTCAATTTGCTGCGACACGAGGAAATATGTGGGGCTGTGACACACTGTGTGCATGCGAGCGATCTGCCGAGCAGCGACGAGAGTTCAGACGGCCCCGCTGAAAGGGCCTCGAGTGGGAGCCCTACGAAACTGCTCATCGGTGTCACCAGCCACGGGGGAATATTCCCAGCACAGCGCTCGCACTGACGGGTGTCCCACTCGAGGTCAGAAAAAACGGTTTTCAATAGCTGGAAACTCTTGACATTGCGCGTTCCCCCACCAGCCCATCCAGAGACGATGCCCATGGGAGCTGCAGCGACGCAGGGATGCCATCGATGGTGAAATGAAAAACTTCGGGGAGCCTCTTGTAGGCATATTTCCACAATCAGAGCTTGCCTCTGTAGGGGTCCTAGCGGATTCACATGGTTAGGTGAGGTTCGTCGCCGATTTCGGTGACCGGCTCGGGTGCCCCGGGTGCCCGGGTGCCCAGGTGCCCGGGTGCCCAGGTGCCGCGGGTGCGCGGGTTCCCTGTAGTACTATAGCCCTATAGCTTTGTAGCTAGCCTTATAGCACTATAGCCCTATAGACCTATAGCCCTCTAGCCATCTAGCCCTATAGCCCTGTAGCCCTATAGCCCTAATAGCCCTATAATCTCATAGCCCAATAGCCCTATAGCCCTAATAGCCCTATAGACTCATATCCCCATAGCCCTATAGCCCTATAGCCCTATAGCACTACAGCCCTATAGCCCTATAGCCCTACAGCTCTACAGCCCTATAGCCCTGTAGCCCTGTAGCCCTACAGCCCGATAGCCCTATAGCCCTGTAGCCCTATAGCCCTATAGCTCTCTAGCCCTGTAGCCCTATAGTCCCATAGCCCTAGAGCCCTACAGGCCTATAGCCCCAT